CATATAAACCCTAAACCCTATGAGGGTTAGAACTCTGAACCCTAAACCCCAAACCCCAAACCCCTTTATTAGGGTTTAGACCCCTAAACCCTAAACCCCAAAACCCTAAAACCCTAAAGCTCTCAACCCTAAAACTCTAAACCCTAAATACCTAGATCCCTGAACGCTAAAAGGTCTAGGGTTTAGGGATTAGGAGGACAGACGGCGGCGATGGACCAGTTTGGTTGTAAATAGAGTTTCTCATTTCATTTCTCGATCTCTGGCTTGTAACTGCCATTTTAAATGTGGGAGGTTTCCCTTGGATTGAAGTGCCCCTTCCCTCTGTCCGCCTCAACCCCATACCCTCAGCCTTAAATGCTAGACCCTGAAATGTGAACTCTATACTGTAAACCCTAGTACTTGATAATCAGGCAAATACAAAAAAGTGCCCTAAGAAAGAGTCTGAAAATGAAGGACTCCCCATCAATCCCAGCGTACTGGACACTTGAGACCCCCAAGACCTAGGGGTGGTCTCTACCTCCTGCCCGTAGGGCCGGCAACACTGGGCAAAGACCCTGAACCCTAAACTCCTTACCTTCTTCACCCGAATAGAACACCCGGTCATTATCGCTGCATCTGGACCGAAACTTGTGCCAAATACAGCTATAATGACCGGGCGTTCTATTCGGGTGAAGACGGTAGTACTTGATTTGATAATCAGGCAAATAAGAAAGTGCCCTCAGAAAGAGTCCGACAATGAAGAAGAGGAGGATTTTGTACTACTGCCGGCGTACTGGACACTTCAGAGACCCCCACGACCTAAGGGTGCTCTCTACCTCCTGCCCGCAGGGCCTGCAAAACTGGGCAATGTTCCCTACAGTCCTTTCGTCATAGGAAACGTATTCATACCCCCTAGCTTGTTGTCGCATACAGATGAGTCCCCCTTGGTCCCCATTTGGTCCCACACACTGTGGCATGTGATGCAACTCAGAATGCAAGGATGATACACCAGCCAGGTCTGCCCGGATCTTTGGAGATACATTCATTCGGATGAACCTGGACAAAGTTGTTGATCGGTATTTGCTGAAACAGACATGGCATGGAGGTCCCGAATCTGAGTTGTTCCCAGAAACTGTGAATTCAGGATCGAGGAAGAGATTGGGTTGTGGGTTGGGGGAAGGAAGGTTAAACCACCACTACTTCGGATCCTTTTTTTTTTGTTTGTTTTTTTAAATGCATGTCATCCTTGCGCAGGGGCCATGCTAATCTTCTCTGTATCGTTCCAATTTTAATGGATGTCCCGAAGGACACCACTACCTCGGATCCTGTTTTTACTGACCCTGAATTCCACTGGGCACCGAGTTTTGCCGAGCCAGGGTCCCATTGTATTTTCTTTTCTGGTACTCACGGCAGTTACATCCGAAAAAGAGGGGGAAAAAAAGAACAAAAAAAGAAAAGAAAAAAAGAAACTTCCGCCGTCATAGCCATCAGATGCATTCAATGGTGTGCTGGTGAGACTGTGTCGTTGATGAGGGGGTCTGTCCGATGACCAAGAAAAGAAGAACAACAACAACAACAAAAAATCCTTTATGCTATGATCACGGTCCGATACAGGACAGCTACATCACCAATTTCAGTATGAGGTGAGTGAGGCGTGGAATTTGCCCTGCCGCGCTGGCAGGGCACCAAAATATAATGAAGAAAACGAAAAAAAAAAAAAAAGAAGGAAAAGTGAGAGCAATCACGTGTTGCAGATGCTGACCAGATACAGTCTACAGTGTGCTAGTATGACTGTGCCCTCAGAGAGGGCGTCTGCACGATGACCATGAAACGAAGAACAACAACAACAAAAAAAAAAAACCTCCTGATGTCGTGATCGCGGGTCCGATACAGGATGCTACAGTGCTTGTGTGAGGTTGAGGTGAGTGAGGCAGTTTCCTGCCCCGCGTGGAATCCGCCCTGCCTGTTTGGCAGGGCACCAAAACCAAAGAACAGAAAACAAAAACAAAATGGTAGCAACGCACTCACCTGCCACACATACTGGCCAGATACATTCCTTTTTGCACTGGTGTCTTTTCAACCTGCCTGACGGCGTTCCCCGACGTGGATGGATTCACAACGCCTTGTTTTTCCTTATTTTTTTTCGGTTTTTTTTTTGCCTGAGCGTGGGCCCGTAGGTTTCCAACGTTTCCTTTTTTTTTTCCCCTTTCTACCCGACCCTCCAGACCCCCCAAAAATGCGGTGTGACGTATATTCGGGTTTTTCCCAACACTGAGAAAGGTAGTGGTGGTTTGAGGGGGTTTTACAGTTTAAACACACTACCGTCTTCCCCCGAACACAACGCACCCCCATTTTGACTGTATCGGGCTGGAAACAAGCCTTGCATATTTATCTTCAGGGTGCGTTATGTTCGGGGGAAGACGGTAGTACCCGGCTCACCCAGGCAATTTTTTTCCTCTCCCTGAATTCAAGGAAGACCAGGTAGAGACCCGGTAAAGAGCCTCGGCACAAGTGTGGGTGGTAGGACAAGAATCCTCCCGACTGCATTGAACGTAGAAAGTACCTGTCACCTGCTTTCGACCCTCCTTCCGATCCTCCTTTCGCACCCAAGAAAATCCACACGATCATTATCGCTGTTTCTAGACAGGAAATTGCCCCAAATACAGCTAAATCGGGGTCACGGAGAAGACAACAGCAGGACAAGTATCCTCCTCCCGACTGCATTGAAGGTAGAAAGGACTGGTCACCTGCTTCCAACCCTCCTTCCGACCCTTCTTTTGCACCCAAGAAAATCCACACGATCATTATCGCTGTTTCTAGGCTGGGAGTTGCCCCAAGTACAGATAATTGGGGGGCACCTGATTTAGTCTGGTTGGAAGTTCAGCTTGCTGTCAGGGTCGCTGCACCCCAGAATATAATGTAAATGCGATGAGAAGGTTCCCTTTTTTTTTTTTTTTTTTTTTTTTTTTTCTAACAATGAGGAAGTGCCATACATTTTAGACAGGCTGTTTTTTCAAGTCTGGTGTTCACGACAGAAATAGATTCACATAACAGCACATTCGTGGATCTGACAACATGCCTGCTACCGTCTTCCCCCGAGTAGAACGTACGGTCATTATCGCTGCATCTAGACTAGAAGTTGTCCCAAATACAGACATGGCGATCATACCTTCTATTCGGAGGAAGACGGTAGGCGTGGTGTATATCGCAGCTTGCTAGGAAGAGGTTAGTAGATTTGCATAATAGTATATTCGTGGATCTTACAGTACGTCTACCGCCATCTTCCCCGAATAGAGCACACGGTCATTGTCGCTGTATCTAGACTGGAAGTTGCCCCAAATACCTCCATAGCGACCATATGTCTTATTCAGTGGAAGACGACAGAAGTGGTGTTTATTGCAGCTTGTGAGGAAGAGGTTAGCGTTATAGCGCATTCATGGATCTGGCAATATGCCTGCCGTGGAGTCTGTCTGTGTCTATCCATTGGATTTGGAGCAGTCTGTAACGAGATGAATTGAAAATTGAGTGTGGGTTTCTGGTGTCCCTTGCAGCTTGCTAGGAGTGGCGTTTGTCGACATGACTAAGCGAACACTAGGAATGA